GACCACAGAAGGGTTTTGAGCATGGAGGCCTGCTCCCTATGTGGGCCAGGAGTGGCCACTTGTGTAGGGGAATCTCCTGGCCCCAGGAGAGGCTGTGGGAGGAAGAGTCCCCTGTGCCCCACAGCAGCTGGCAAGTGTTAGTGCAGCGTGCTCCCTGTGAGCTTGCAGAGTGCTCTTACCGCACGGTCACCAGTGTGGACGTGGTCCCCATCGGGCTGGTCAGGGTGATCTCCAGGTCCCCCCTGCGGCTGTAGCTCAGAGAGAGCTGGACCTGGACGTGCTCCAGGGAGCGGATGCACTTGGTTCTCCCAGAGCAGAAAACATCTGTAGGGACGGTGAGCTTGGAGCCAATGTTCCTATCAAGTACAAGGTGGAGGTGAGGGCATCTCTTCTGCCTTCATGGGCCTCCTGCCCTCTATGCACAGCCCTGTGGTTACAGCAGAAGCTGTGCTGTAGCTACTGCTTTCTGGGAAGCAATGCCTGTTACTGCAACGGGCATGGCACAACTTTGCTATGAGAATGTCCCTGTATGTGTTTGTATGAGGCTGGACCCGGGGAATACCATCCCTTACCAGGGTCCGTGAAGAGCCTTGACTGAGCACCTCCGCTGAGGCTGAGTTCCTGTCCATGCCTTGGCCATCTCCACCAGCAGCCCAGCATCCAGGAGCCCGTAGCCGTAGTGGTGGCTCACTGAAGAGCAGATACCACCCAAGAGAGGATGTACGAGCCCCTCTGCACTGAGAGAGCGCTGGGGGCTCTTGGCCCAGGCCCGCTGGTGGGGGTTTGAGGGGCAGGGTGTCTGCCCACAGCCAGGCAAAGGAAGCAGGAGCAGGTAGGGCAGGCAGCAGCTGAGCCCTCAACTCACCCTTGCGTCCGGCCCCATTCGTAGCCCAGTCTTCTGCCTGCAGGTGAGCGGGATTGGAGGTCCTGATGACAAGATGCTGCAGGTCACGCCAGGTCAGTGCTGGGCTGGAAGCAAGGAAGACTTGGGAACCAAAGGCTCTGCTTTGGGTTAGCTTTCAAGGGTGGGATTTGGCTCTTCAGACATGGATAAGTTAGCTGTCTGGGTCCAAGCTGGTCCCCCCTGCACAAAAATCCTTCACTGCCAAAACGGGAGCAAGAGAGACCTCCAGAGGACGCCTCTCCTCCTGCCTCTCCCTGCTCTCCAGCAGTGTCCCACCACGGGAAGATGTCCCCTCAGAGCCAGGGGACACCTCAGCTCTGCACCCCCAAACCTCCCCGCTAGTGAAGTCCCCCTCCCTCGTCCCTGAAGGGTCCTATTGAGGCACCAGGCCCTCCCTGGGAACCCTCCCACTGCCACGACCTCACCTACTTGGCCTGCAGCGCGAGGGCAACGATTCCTGCAGCCAGTGGGGCTGAGGCAGAGGTGCCCGTGTGCTTGTCCGTGCAGCGGTGGTGCAGGTCCGTGGTCACCTGAGGGGAGAGAGGGGTCCCAGCACTGCTGCTGGAGCAGAGCACAGGACTGGATGGAGTTAACTTCAGTAAATGCTCCCTCTGGGTCCCTACGTGGGTTTGGGGTCTAATGCAGACATCCTAATAAAGCCCCCGTCCTCCCTAGAGGGCTCAGATGAGCCCTCTCTGTGCTGGGAACTGGTGTCTGGCCAAGTGTCCCTGCTCTGGCACTCACAATCTGCACCTTGCTCGTGGTCCTGCTGCTGTAGGTGGTGGTGAGGATGGCAGAGCAACCCTCGCTGTACCAGGGCCTCTGGCCGCCAGCCAGAACGCTGCCCACTGACAGGGTGTAGATGCTGTTGGCGTACCCATCGCAGTTGCAGTTGTCATAGTTGATCCCACCGTTGCCAGAGGCCCAAATGAAGATGGAGCCGAGACCACCCCGTCCCTGGCAGGGGGGAGATAGAGGGGGATCAGCAGGGAGCCCTCACCCCAGGGAGGTTCCCAAGGCCAGCACCAGGCTTACTTTGCTGGCCCCTCTGTGGAAGGCTGCTGCAGCCAGCACGCCTGGCCCGTCCACGGTCTTCCCGTCATCCTTGGGGCCCCAGCTGGCACTGTAGATGTGGATGTGCTGGAAATGCAGGCTGAGGGACTGAGCCTCCACCATGTCTGTGATGGGGCCATCCAGCATCCGCACGCCTGCAGGGCCAGGGTGAGGAGCAGCAGTGTCAAAGAGGCAGCAGCGCTTGGGAGGCGGGGTGGGCAGAAGGCTCGTGCATGCCACAGCAATGTAAGGGTTGAGAGACATCTCATCAACCCCACTTCATTCCCCCACCTCCCTGTTGCCTTGAACACCTTTATTGTGACGCTGCCCTAAGGAGATCAGGTTCCTGCAGGCTGGAAGCTGTTTCCCAGAGCTCCTTGTTAAGCCCTTTTCAATTAAGCTCTGTGAGTTCTCCCAGCTTATAACCCCATTTGCCCTACTTGCTTCCACGGGGGAGCTTGTGGTGGGTGTTAAACCCCCTGGGAGTTGAGCCCCGTGACTGGGTGTGCAGTAACACCAGAGAACCATAGAATGGTTTGGGTTCGAAAGGACCTTAGGATCATCCAGTTCCAGCCCCTGTGCCATGGGCAGGGACATCTCAGCCTACACCGTGTTGCCTAAGATTCTGTCTAACCTGGCCTTGAGCACTGCCAGGGATGGAGCATTTAACCCCTTCTCTGGGCACCCTGTGCCAGCACCTCAGCACCCTCCCAGGGAAGAGCCTTAGATCTGATCTGAACTTCCCCTGTTTCAGTCTGAACCCATCACCCCTTGTCCTACCGCTACAGTCCCTGACGAAGAGACCACAGCACCCTCTGCTTCTCAGCGAGAGCCTGGCTCCCCCCAGAGCAGCTCTGCCCGGGGCCATGCGTCCCTTCCCCGAGTGCCACAGCAACCTTTGTGCATTCATGGCTCACCTCCAACGCTGGCCTTGTACGCAACGCCTGCTCCACAGAGCTGGTTGTTGGCTGCAGCTGCCACTTCTCCTGCACAGCGCGTTCCATGCCTGAGGGGCAGAGCTAGCCTCTGAGCCCTCCTCGGTGAGGGGCAAAGGGGGCCTGGGGCAGCCCTGGCCATGGAGAGATAAAGCACCCAGCACAGGGTGCTGGGCAGAACTCACCAGTTCTCTTCCGCGGTGCTGTACCTGGGCTGGGGATCAGGGTCATTGCTGTTGAAGTCATAACTTGCCAGAGGGTCCTGTTGCAGAAAGAGGGACGGGCATGAGCAAACTGCCTCTCTGTATGGGCTGTGATAGCCTGACACAGCTGCCTGGTGCTGTGCCCAGTGCCTGGCAGCGTGGATCAGCCTGGGCCCTTCTCACCCAGCAACTGCACTGGGTTAACCCGGAGATGTTGGCAATGGGGCTCTGTTAAAGACACATAACTTTGTGCATTGCTCTACTGCTTCACCATGTCCAAGCTCACGTTTGGTGAGGAAGCCTGGCATGGCCACTCACCCGAGGGCAAGCCTTACTGCCCGTGCCGTTAGGAGAGGAACTACAGGGCACTGAAATGGTGGTGTTATAAATGACAGGTGAGATTTACCCGTCCTCCCTTGGAGCACGTGAAGGTTTACCAGCTTTACTGCCTTTGCACTGGGGACAATGGGTCCAAGTTCTACCTATGTGCAAAGTCACTGCAGGAGATGCCAAACCTTTTGATCCAGCCATGGAGAGGCTGAGTTCCCACTGCAGAGTCCCATGGGGGGGATGAAGGCACCCACCCACGCATGCCCCCAAGGAGCCTGCGCTGCTCAGCCCCACGTAGTTACATAGTTGGCAGACAGGTCTGGATGATCCTTCTCGATGCCATCGTCCAGGATGGTCAGCACGACCCCCAGCCCCGTGTACCCTTTGCTCCAAGCAGTGAGGATGTTCAGGTCGGGATTAACGTCATTATTCTGGAAAACGGATTAAATCTGATCAGCCCCTGGGCTGCGGGTGACCTTCAAGGACAATTCTGCTGCTTCATCACTGCCAGCATCAGTCCTGTTTGTGCCGGGCTCTGTGTGTGTGTGATTTGCTTGAGGATTAGAAAGCAGCAAAATCTCACCATGTACCACTGCTTGTGGAACCAGGGATCTGTTGGCACCACACTGATGCTTCTCTTTGCGCGCCTCTTTACGCTTTGCTGCTCAAACCAGAGGACCTGGGCAGGAAGCAGCATTGGTGGTGTCAGGCAGAGCCTGCCCAGCACCAGAGCCTGGGCTCCTGCCGCTGCCTCCTCCCCTACCTTTGGCTCTTTTGCCAGGCGCATATTCCAGCCCCAGTGCCTGCTTAAGGCTTTCTGCCTCGTGCCTCGGTGTTTGAAATGGTAATAAGGCTCTCCCTCCATCACCTGCAGGCAAAAAGAGCTGTGGTAAGAGATCATGGCATCGCCTGGACCCGTGTGCTTGCTCGATATGGGCGGCAGGGACCGTAAAGAGACGTTTGATGAGTTGTATGTGGCAGGACCAGCGGAGAGCATCACTGGGAACCAGGGCAGGTTTGCGGGGTGCCCTTTGGGTCTCCCCTCTCAGCGATGCACGCACGGAGGCCATCGGCAATGCTCACCCCTACTGCACTCATCCTTTAATCTGCGTCCGGGGGCCTAAAACCACCCGAGGGAGTAATCAGAAGCCCCGTTCTAACACTAAACCAGCGCCCGCTGCGGGCACACGGCGGGGATGAGCCGAGGGGACCAGCAGAAGAGGACGAGCGCAGTGGGGCACGGTGGATAGGGGCACCCCGGCCCCCGCCTGCCCCATGGCTGCCGCCGCACCTGGCCCAGGCAGAGCAGCCCGTGCCGCCGGGCCAGGCCCTGGGCCCCCCTCGGCCCCGCTGCCACCCTCACGGCCCAGCTGCTCAGGTAGACGTGGGGCTCGGCGGAGCCCATCACCGCGGCCATCACCGCGGCCTCCAGCAGCAGCCTCGGCCCCGCCGCCATGGCGGCCGCAGGGGTTGTCATGGCGACAGCGCCGCCCCGCCCCGTCTGCCGCCGTCGCCGCGGCCTCGGGCCAGCCCCGGCGGGGGGGGGACGGGACGGGACGGGACGGTCGAGACCGGAGCCGCCGCAGCCGCCATGGGCACGGTGCCGCAGCGCCTGCAGCGCTTCCTCGATGGGCCCGGGCCGCTCGGTGACCTCCTGGGCCGCCTGGAGGCCCGCACCGGCGTCCGGCGGCTCTACCTGGCTACAGGTGCGACCGCGATCCCCGGCCCGGCCCGTCCCGTCCCGTCCCCGCTCCCCCCGGCTCCGCTCCGGCGCTGCCCGCTCTGTTCCTGCCGGGTCTCCGAGGGTCCCTCCTCCTTCCTGGCGCGCCCCTCACCGCGCCTCTGGACTCCGGGGTGGGGGGGGACGGGGGGCAAAGGACAGGGGCTGGGAGGGGGCCGGGGGTGCCCGTGTCCGTCTTTGCCTTCGGAACCCCCTGTGCCCTTCTGCCTCCTGGTGCGGTTCCCCGGCCCTTTACCTGCTCGTGTTCCTGCGCCGAGGGGGAAAGGGGTCCATGGACCGCGTGCTGCCGTGGGCAGGTTGTGTCTGGGTGCAGTGCGGGGCGGACCCGCATCTTCTGAGCCCAGCAGTGCCTTTGGTTGCGCTTGGATGCGATGGGCTTCTAGGGGTAGGGGAAGAGCAGAGGCACCGCTTCCCCCAGAGTGATGGTCCCTTGTTCTCGGTCCCTGTCCTGGAAAGGAGAAGCTGCTGCTAAACTCAGAATACTGGATTTCTCCTTCCCCCCCGTAGCGATTCCTAATTTGTGTTTGAACCCATTTGGAACCCAGTAGCGCCCATGGGCTGCAGTCTGGAGCCCATCTCGCCTGACATCTGAGCAGCACAGCCAGGTCAGCCCTGCAGTGGCTTTGGCTGGGTGAAAATGATCCCGGAGGAGGAGGATAGTGTTCCCTTCCCTCACCCTCCTTGCTGCGGCAGGAACCATGGGACAAATCCAGCTGCCCCACTCAGCAGCTCTTCTTTGTAAGCAAAGCCTTTCACTTGGTTTTTTGCTTTCATATAAACGTATGTGGGGGCTAATTTAGCCCGTGAAACCCCTTCTAAGGCTCCTGGGGGGATTGAAACCCAGCGCTGCCCGAACCTTCTTGTTGGTTTTCCTTGAAGGGAGGTTTGTGAGTGCTTCCAAAAGCCACATACATTGCTCCTACCTGTCTCCTGGGGAAGACCCAAAGCACCATTCATGCCCAGAGCCGCAGCCACTCCACAGCAGGGGCCAGAGCAAGGCACAGAAATGCTGTGGTGAGCAGAGCGAGGATAACCCATCCTGCAAGCCCGAGCAAGGGCTTTCCTCTAAGTCACAGCACAGAGAGGTTAAGTCCAGGCTTTCCTGCCTGCTTTGGGGCAAGGTGCTTACTTTGGCAGAGGAATTTGTACATAGGGTAGGGGAGACACTGCTGGGCTGTGACAGTGCCTTCGACTCAGGCTGCTTTAGTGCTCTCTGACCATTCAGGGTCTCAGTGAACAGGAGCTCTTCACAGCACCATGATTTCGGGCTCCTTGCCCCAGCTCCCCCCATCCACCGGCTGCCTTCGGCAAGGGTCTGGGTGCTGGGCAGGCTCCAAATGACCCAAGCCTTGGCTTACATTTAACTTTGATAATTGAATTTAATCACAGGGAAGTGGGATTCGGTTGCTGCTCCTCAGGGACTGAATCCTCAACGAACAGTGGCTGCTCAGCACAAACACGTGCAGGAGATGCGTACAGGGAGCAGGAGACGCAGGCTCTGGCAGCAAGGCTGCTCCTGGGCACTTGGCTCCCATCATCAAGGCTTGTCCCTGACCAGTTGAACAGCTCCTACAAAATGCCAAGTGGTTTGAGCCCTGGCACGTGGTGGGGCAGCTCCGTGCTTTGACTTTGGACTGTAGTTGTGTGTTAAAGTCTCTGCTCCTGATGGCTTTGCGGCCTTGGCTCGGGTCCACGCTGGTGATGGGTTGAAGGTGCTGCGAGTTTGTTGTGGTAAAGTCCCTTCCAGGCCAGGGAGGGGACAGGCAGTGACAGGTTCCGGGTTGTGGCTCCCTTGAGGGAGAGGGTGATACTGGAATTAACTGGGAGTGATTGTTATTCCCAACAGGAGGGTCCCGCATTCACCTCTTCTCACTCCTGGGATGAGAAACCTGCTCTGCAGACAGAGCTGGGGTCTCCTCTCGCCATCCTGGCACTGCCAGTTACATGACCACCCTCTCTGTGCCCTGGCAGGCTCTGCGGCGTTCCTGGGGCTGTACCTCGTGTTTGGCTACGGCGCTTCACTGCTCTGCAACCTCATTGGCTTCGCCTACCCTGCATACGTCTCGTAAGTCCCAGGGTCTGGAGAGCTTCCCCTGCCCTTAGCTGAGGGTCTCCCTGATAAATGAACAGGCGTTTACAGCTGGGAAGCTCTTGAGACCTTCCTGAACATGCTGGGAACTGGCACGAGCCCAGCTTGGGGCAGCAGCATCCAATAGGCAGGTCTGCTCCAGGGTTCAGAGGATTTGGGAAGGAAGTGCCCACCCCGGCAGCAGGACTGCAGCAGCAATGCCCTTCCCATCTCCTGTCACAGCATCAAAGCCATCGAGAGCTCCAGCAAGGAGGATGACACCACGTGGCTGACGTACTGGGTGGTGTATGGCGTCTTCAGTGTAGCTGAGTTCTTCTCTGACATCTTCCTCTACTGGTTCCCCTTCTACTATGCTGGGAAGGTACCGGGGGCTGCTGGGGCCAGAGTCCTCTCACCCAAGGGCTAAACTTGGAGGAACCAAGCGTGGTGGGCTCTGTCCTGTTGGCAGGACAGTGGTGGAGGCTGTGGTGGGGCCACAATGGGGCTGCAGTCCAGCACAGAGCTCTCTGCAGCCAGCTGAGGTCCTGGCACCTCCATTAAGCAACTGCCTTTGGGCTGCCTGGGGGGAACTGGAGCAGCTCAGCTGCTGGCCTGCCACTGCTGCCATCCTTGGGGGCTGCCTTGCTCAGCCCTTGCCCTGCCATCATCCAGCTCTAGAGCATCTCTCCTCCCCGCAGTGCCTGTTCTTGCTGTGGTGCATGGCCCCCGTGCCCTGGAACGGGTCGCAGGTGCTCTACCAGAACATCATCCGGCCCTGGTTCCTCAGGCATCACCGCACCGTGGACAGTGTGCTGGGCAACCTCAGCACCAAAGCCCTGGACGCAGCCTCCAGTGTCACCAGAGAAGGTAACAGGGGTTGGTCACCCTGCTCCGTGTCTGGGGCAGGCGATTCCCCCCCAGAGCACGGCCAAGCTCCTCTGGGATGGTAGCAGCTCTTGTCTGCATGGCTGGCAAGCAGCCCTCTCTATGATGCTGGGCTCGCAGCCCTGTCCTCCCGTGGCGGCAGGAGCCGAGCAGGGGTTGAGCTCTCCCCTCGCTGTAATTCTCTCTCTTCTCTCCGTGCCTCATGGTCCAGTCCTGCAGACTCTGATCAGCAGCAGAGCCCGGCTGACGGCCGAGGTGGCTCCACAGCTCACTTTGTCTGTATGTAAAGAGCCGCAGGTCCCGCTGCCGCTGCAGGGAGAAGGGGCCGCTCTGTGCCAGCCCTCCCAGCCCCTTGGCGGAACGGCTGCAGCCACGGTGGTGTTGGCGAGAGCTCCAGCGCTGCCAGGCTGTGGTGTGGCTGACACAGCCGTCCCCTTCTCCCTCAGCTCGTGTAGAGCAGGCGCTTTCCCTCCTGCTTCTCCGTAGCCAGCGCCCCCAAACCGCGTGTACCTTGCTTGGCCCCACCGTGCTGGTGACAACCTGGGGCTCCCATTCAACCCCCCAACCCCGGCGAGGGCAGGAGCGGGAGGGAATGGGGTGGCACCGCGTGTCCGGGGTGGGCTCGTCCCGGGGCACCGGTTGGTGGCCCTGACACCGTGCCTGTGTCCCCGGCAGCCTCCGGAGCAGCCCTGACCCTGGCAGCGGAGAAGAGGCAATGAGAGGCACCACGAGCCCGACCGAGCCCCGAGCCCCACGGCTGTTGCCCCCCACCTCAATAAACCGCCGGGGGTCCCCGGGGCCCCCGAGCCGCCTCTACCCTGTGCCGCGGCCCCTTTAAGAGCCAAGGCGGGGACTGCGCGGGAGTGTGACGTCACTCAGGGGGCGTGGTGGGATGAGGGCGCGGGCGGTGGCGCTACGGTGGCCGGGAGGAGGGTGAGGGGGCCGGCCGCGGCGGGGAGCGAGCGGCGGAGGGGTCCGTGTCCGTGTCCGTGTCCGTGTCCGTGTCCGTGTCCGTGTCCGTGTCCGTGTCCGTGTCCGTGTCCGTGTCCGTGTCCGTGTCCGTGTCCGTGTCCGTGTCCGTGTCCGTGTCCGTGTCCGTGTCCGTGTCCCCGTGTCCGTGTCCCGTGTCCCGTGTCCGTGTCCCGTGTCCGTGTCCCCGTGTCCGTGTCCCGTGTCCCGTGTCCGTGTCCCCGTCCGTCCGTGTCCGTGTCCCCCCGTGTCCCCGTGTCCGTATCCCCGTGTCCCCTTTCCGTGTCCCCGTGTCCGTGTGTCCGTGTCCCTGTGTGTCCGTGTGTCCGTGTCCGTGTGTCCGTGTTCGTGTCCGTGTCCGTGTCCCTCCGTTCTGGGGGCAAGGCGGTGTCTGCCCGTCCCGGGGCAGGGGGGGGGGAGGCCGGTCTGTCTGTCCGTCTGTCCAACGACGAGGCACCGAGGGGGTCTGTGTGCCTTGGGGAGGGGAGGAAGTCGATCTGTCCGGAGGGGTCTGTGTGTCTGTGCGGGGGCTCTGCCGGTCGAGGGGGGCAGTCTGTGTGTCTGTCCCCAGCGCACCACGGGGGGGGGGGGGGGGTGTGTGTCTGTCTGTCTGTCCGCTCATCCCGCCCCCCCCCGACACCAGCCCCCGCGCATGAAGCGGCCTCGGGATGAGCGCTAAGGCCAAGCGGGTGCTGCCCACCCGGCCTGAGCCCCCCACGGTGGAGCAGATCCTGGCCGACGTGCGGGGCACCCACCCGGCAGACCCCGTCTTCCTGCTCCCCGCGGAGCCTCAGCGAGAGCACGGCCTGTGCCCAGGTGAGCCCGGGGGCGAGACAGCGACGGGACGGGACCGGGACCGGGACCGGGACGGGACGGGACCGGGACGGGACTCGCGGACCGCTGCTGAGCATCCCCGCTCTGCCCCCATCAGGCCCCGCTGCGGAGGAGAGGGAGCGGCTGTACCGGCAGAGCCGCTCCTACGTGGAGATGCACCAGTGGCTGGAGGAGTCCCGGGAGCGGCTGCGGGAGCAGCGCCAGGAGCTGCAGCGGGCGGGCGCGGCGCTGGAGCGCGGCATTGCCGACATGAGGCAGAAAGCGCTCTGAGGAGCTGCTGCTCCCGCTGCTGCAGCATCGCCCTAGGCCTCGGCACGTCGCATCCTCGCAGTTGCTGTCTACCTAATAGGGGAGAAGGGAATTTAGTTTACGGGAGGATCTGGCCTCGCTGTGCACAAAGGGCCGGAGCTTTGCCCCCCTTTGCCCCGCTACTGCCCCTGCCGGTTCCTGGTGCAGGAGGAAAGGCTCGGACCTTGCGTTGTCCCTGCTGCCCATGAGCTCGATGCCCTCGTCCCCAGAGGGTGGCACGTCCTCTGCGCCCTTGTGCTGTGGCTTCACCTATGACTTTTCCCTCTGGTACTGCCCTGAAGATGACCACATCGCCTCCCGCATCTCGGAGTGCTTGAAGAAAGAAGGTTTTCGGGGCTATGCAGAGCACCAGGACCACGTGGCTGGGAAGCCTGTCATCCTGACTGCCACGAAGGTCATCGAGGCCAGCCGGGTGGCCATCCTCCTCCTGTCTGCCAAGTCCCTGGGGGACCCGTGGTGCCAGCGGGTTTCCCAGTGGAACCTGTGTCACATCATTCAGTGCCACGGGACCAAAGTGATCCCCGTGTGTGTGGGTGTGAAGAAAGCCGAGGTGCCCCCCTTCCTGCAGCACCTCACTGAGCTCGAGTACCAGAACGAGTTCTTCTTTGACAGGCTTGTGAACAGCCTGAGAACATCCTGCTTGGCAGCACAAAGAGCCCGGCGAGCCCTGTCCTCCAAAGAGAAGAGGTGAAGGACCACGGGTGACTGAGGGCTGTTTTGCAGCCTGTTTGGGAGCTGATGGCCCTGCAGCGGTGGTGGTAGAAGCAGGGTTGTCCTGTACTGATAGTAAAGATGGTGGGAACAGGGATTGTCATAAATCTCATTAAAAACCCTTCTCCAAGGACTGAAGATGTGACTTCCTGCCTGCCCTGTTTCACTTGGTGGCTGGGGGGTAAAGTCACCATAACACCCCACAGGGTGGCTGTCTGCCTTAGCAGGAGTCTGTGTCCCGTTACCACCCTGCACAAGAAATGGATCCAGAAAACGCTGGGGGGAGGCTGCGCTTCTCCCCAGCCCAAGTGTGTGGGACAGACAGACCAGCCCTTCCTATTTACACAGGTTGGCTTTTAATTGTTAATACTGTCCAGAGTCCCAGTAAGATAACATCCTTAGTACATACATACAGCGAAGGAGGGAGCAGGCTGCCGCAGAACCTGGTGGGATTGTCCGCAGAGGGCTGAAGTCAACACGCACGTGTGGAGCAGAGGTGGGCAAGAGTGGGGCTGGGTGGTGGGGCTTGAACTTGGGGCTGCTGCCGAGTACATGGGGCGATGCTGGTCCTCCCAGCACATCCGATGCTCGGTTATGGCACTCAGGAGTGCCCCAGGGGACTTTGTCTCCTTTCCTTCAGTGCCAGCCCTGGGTCCCACTGGCTGCAGCCTCCCAGCCACTGCTGGAACAGAGGTCTCCAGCCAGCACTGGGGTCTGCACATCCCCAGGGAGCCCATGGGTGTCCCCACAGCCCTGGTGTCTCCCTGGGCTCAGTGCATATCCCTGTGGCCCCACTGCGTGTCCCCGCAACCCCTGCGCAAGTCCCAAGAGCCCCTCACTACGTCCCCCATGGCTCTTGGGTGATCCCCATGTCCTCCGCACATGTCCCCATAGTCCTGTGTCTGCCCCCCCATGGCACTGCTATGTGGGGATGCCATAGGTCATCCACAGCAGGCAACAAGCTATAGAGAGCACCCAGGGTGGGTGGTGTGCTCACCAGCAGCTCAGCCCCATCCCATCCACTCCCTGGGGTCAAGGTGCTTCCTGCATCTCCCAGTCTCGGCACATGAGGCTGACAGCAGGAGCGAGGGGTCCCTGATGCTTTGGGGCTGGGAGCTCCCATGCTCATGGGCATGATCCACTCCCGGATGGACTCGTGTCCACGTGCATGGGGACACTCTGGCTGCAGGCTGGGATGGGACTGGGGGGGGCTGCAGATGGGGGTGAGGGGCCCTGGACCCTTCCCTAGGGGTTGGGCACCCTGGCACCAGTTCAGCACCGCTTCCCCTTCCAGGGCAGCTCCCAGCCTGCAAGAAACCCTGCAAGCAGCCTCCAGGGACGAGCCCATCGAGACCCCGTTATCCACCAGCAAGCCCCTTCCTGGCTCCTCCTGTGCCTCTTCCATCCAACACTGCTGTGAACAAGTGCAAGCACTATGGCTGCAGGTTACCCATTAGCAATCAGCCACGGCCCTTATTTAGGACCCTCCAGCAGCACCAACAGGGGGGCTCTGGCCCCCATCTCCCCACAGCCAGGAGCTCTTCCCCTGTGAAGCCTCTCCAGCCACGTGTTCCCTCCCCACCGGGTAATAAATGAGCTGATTGCTGGCAGAGCAGGGTATTGGTGGCGATACAAGCAGAAGCACGGTGTGCCACCCTCCTGGTGTGCCGGCTCAGGTCCTGGTTCAGCCTCTGCCCAAGGCAGGTGAGCAGGATGAGGGCATGGCTTCCCCCTCAGCTTGTTCCAGGGTGTCCAACAGTGGGAGGAGGTGGCCACTGAGACTCACCCTGGGTTGAGCATCAGCCCCATCCCAGCACCCAGCAGGTCCCCCTGGCTCTGCTTGGTCCTCAGCACTGAGAACTGCAATGCTCTGGTACAGCAAGACCCCAGACAGGGCAGGCAGCGGATTGGGGTGGCTTCTGGTTCCCAAGCGTCCCATGCTGCTGTGTCCCCACCCCAGCACAGTTCTGGCCGGCTCCCATGGGACAGGGTGTCATGGGACCCATGCTGGAGCTGCTCAAGCTTGGATTTTCTCCACCCCCTTGTCAGCCACCGCTGTCACCGCCATGGGGCTGGGGACGTAGTTGAAGGGGGTAACGCGGGCAGCTTTGCTTGGGGAGCCATGTCGGCTGGTGGGGAAGGTACCGGCGGGTGCCTCGTGGCTGAAGGAGATGGGCAGCGTGGCCTTGGGTGGGACCAGAGCTTCGCCATCGCAGGTGGCACGGGTGTGCGGGGGCCCCTCACGGGTCTCCAGGGTGGGAGAGGTGCTGGAGTTGGTCTTGGTGGTGGAGAAGTCCTCAGTCTGCACCACGGCATCACTGGTCTTCCTGGGGCTGGGGCTGCTGGGGCGCTCCTCCTCGCCAGCCCCCGCCAGCGGCAGGGCCGAGGAGGGCAGCGTGCTCTTGAGGATGTGCGGGATGTCCTCGTCCCGAATCCTCCGCCACGTGCCCTTCATCACCACCACCGGCGGCTTCGCTGGCTGCTCACCGGGTGCTGCCTCAGGCTGCCGCCGCTGCCGCGCTGAAGCCTCGGAACGGGCCGAGAGGACGGAGGAAGGGCTGCCCGTCCTCCGCGCCACGCTGATGTTGGGCGAGGACGAGTACCTCTTGAAGGGCTCGGGCGCAGGGATGCTGGTCTTCACCGGCAGGCGGGACGGGCTCTCGGAGCTGGTCCTCCGCGGTGGCTTTACCCCGGTGGGGACTTTGCTGCCGAGCTGGGCTCTGGGCACGAGGGGCCGTGGGCTGGAGGCCGCCGGCTTGGCTGCCTTGAGCTCGTCACAGCGGGAGGAGCAGAGGAAGACGGCCGGGAGCGTGTCCCGGCTGCGCTGCGGGGAGGCAGCGCGGGGCTGCGCTGGGGAGTGCTCGGCGCGGTGCCGCAGCAGCAGGCTGGAGGACTCCTTGATGAAGGTGAGCTGGCGCAGGAAGCCGGAGCGGTCCGAATCGCTGCCGC